CCCCCCCCCCCCCCCCAACGCCCACCTCAATCCCAATTTGGCTGGTGAAGGACTAGGCAGCCTTGAGTGAGCTGGTTTTCTGCTCTGGGTCTCAGGTTACCTAGTTTCTCAATGAAAGAAATGCTGCTCCTTGCTCCCCAGTTGTGCGTGGTTTCAGGATCCCCCCCCCCCCCCCCCGCTCTGAAGGCCACGTGTCTTCCCACAGAGCTCTTCCATTCTGTGGCAGCACGGCCACTGGGCACCTGCAGACCAGAGGGGCACCCGCCTGGATTCATCAGCCACCAGACTGGCGTAATCACCCTGGAATTGGGCTCCTCCCGCACTGGCCCCGGGTCGACAGTGTCCAGATTTGAGAGACGGTGTAGCGCAGTTAGATACTGCCCCAAAGATCAGATTTGGGAGGGCTGTGATGGAAGTCTTTCTGTTATTATGACAGACTTGTCTTGAGTTTTAGGCAGGCAAAGAGCATTCTTACAGGGGTGTCATAGCTAGAAGGGTGTCTCTGGATCTCCCCACCTGTGGGTGAGAGGCCCTTTCAGTGCAGGATTGGAGGTGTCTTTGTGGGAGCCACCATGTAGAAACGAGGTCAGTGAGTGTTCTCTGGAGACATCAGGATTAGCGAGAATTTGGGTGGGGAGAGATCCTCAAACTCTCTTTTATTTTTATTTTATTTTTTTATTTTTTTTTCAACATTTATTTATTTTTGGGACAGAGAGAGACAGAGCATGAACAGGGGAGGGGCAGAGAGAGAGGGAGACACAGAATTGGAAACAGGCTCCAGGCTCTGAGCCATCAGCCCAGAGCCTGACGCGGGGCTCGAACTCACGGACCGCGAGATCGTGACCTGGCTGAAGTCGGACGCTTAACCGACTGCGCCACCCAGGCGCCCCCCTCAAACTCTTTCAAAAGCAGTTTCTACACAGGGAAGCAATTGTATCAGGCAGTCCCCGAGATACAGAAACTGTAACTCCCCCCTGCTTTCAGGCTTGGCTGACCCCACCTTTGTGTGTTGGGCCTTTGGGGATGTTCTGTCGGCACCAGTATTTACTCCGGAGCATCACATGGCTTCATTCCACTGAAGCCTTCCTTAAGAAAAAGCAGCTGTGGGGTGGGATCCTGATTTAAGATGAACTCCCAGGAGTTTGGTGCTTTTCTTCAGGATTTAACTTGCAGCAGGCCCTGCTGGAGGCCCTACTGGTGCAGGGTCCGAACAGACAGACAAAGCAGGCATCTGGTGTGGACTCTGCTGGGCCCACGGGCTCCACCAGGCCTAGACTGGAAGCTGGTCTGTGACATGCTCTAAGTCTGCCGGAGAGAGACCAGCCCAGGAGGAGATCAGCTACAGTTCAGTGGGAGATGGCGAGGGTTCGGAAGAAAGGAGCCAAGAAAGGCTCCACTAGGCTGATGGGTAACACTGGGCTGGGCCTTCCCCAGCACATCCGTGACGGTTTTGCTCTGTCACAGCACTGTTGACATTTGAGGCTAGGTCATTTTTTGTCATGGGGAGTGGCTTGTTCATTGTAAGATGTTTAGCAGCTTCCCTGGCTCCTGCCCACTAGATGCCAGTAGTGCCCCTCCCCCTTGTGCCAACTGAAAATGTCTCAGAGTATTGTCAGATGTCCTCCGGGGCACAGTTGCCCCCATTAAGAACCACTGGGCTGGAACGACAGGACAGTCAGAACTGCCAGCTGATCCAGAGGGTGGACTGTCTTGTGTTCCGTGTTAGGGAATTGAGAGCAAGGGAGGGGCGTGATGGGTTGTGTTTCCTTAAGCAGGTGGCCGGGCCATATGGATGAGCGATCAAAGCGATAGCCTCAGCCAGAGAGCGTAGCCTTCACTAGGAGGGAGAGGGCCAGAGACCCCGACAAGGCAGGACTCGGGCCTGAGTGCAGTGGGGCCGTGAGCGAGGGGCCATCGCCAGGGGTGACTGAGGATTGTCTCTTGAGCACCTGGGTGGATGGATCCAGGGTTGGGGTAGGAAAGGAGACTGTGAAGTTTTTGGTTCCTGCAGGACATGAGAGGGAGCCAAGATGCTCACAGCACAGCTGATACTGTGTCGTCTTTCTTCATTCCAGACTCCCAAGACAGCTGGACTGCGACCAATGGAAAAAAAGGACATTCCAGTAGTGCACCAGCTCCTCACCAGGTACCTGAAGCAGTTCCACCTCACACCGGTCATGAGCCAGGAGGAAGTGGAGCACTGGTTCTACCCCCAGGAGAATATCATAGACACTTTTGTGGTGGAGGTGAGTGGGGAGGGGTGTTCCGGGCCCGGGTGAGGCATCCTCCTCGAGCGGCTAGGTTTCTCACACTCGGTGACTGAAGATCCAGCCGGTTGATGGCAGTGTTGGCATCCTAGACTTCCTTGGCCCTCCTTGCTTGGTCCTCCCTGAAGAACGGAAGTTGTAGCTTGTACTTGCTAAAATGGTGCCCTCTGGACTTGGCACGGGCCCTTCTTTCCTTTATCCCAACCCCCAGTCCCCACTGGTGACACAGTAGAAGAGAACTGGTCCCTTTTCCTCAGGTAAGCCTTCGTTTCCCTGGCCGTCCGGCTTGAGGTGGTGCGGGCCGGGCATCAGGGACACCGTCTGGGGGAGCGTGAGCCGCCTGAAGTCCCTGACAGTTTGCAGGCAGGGCGAGAGCTCAGCAGGGTCAGCCCCTGGTCCGGCCTGCCTCTTGCTCCCGGCTCTGTCCTCGGGTGCCCTCGGCAGTGTGTTGTCTCCTGCCTGCACATGCTGTTTCGGTGTGCCCCCATTGTTCTGAGGGGGCAGAGCTGCCTGCGGGTGGTGTGGAAGCAAAAGGAAACACTGTTCCCAGGCTGCAGGATCACCGCGCGTGCGTGACGTTGCCTTCTATTGTTTTCCCTGCAGAATGCAAACGGTGAAGTGACAGATTTCCTGAGCTTTTATACACTTCCCTCCACCATTATGAATCACCCAACCCATAAGAGTCTAAAGGCTGCTTATTCTTTCTACAACGTCCACACCCAGACCCCTCTTCTAGACCTCATGAGCGACGCCCTTGTTCTCGCCAAAATGGTGAGGAGCAGACTGGAGGGCCTGGACACGTGTGGGGAAGGGCAGTGGGAGCAGTGGTGAGCACAGCTGGCCTCGCTCTGCTGAGGAAGGGGCCCACCACTCCTCAGCCAGCGGCTCAAAACTAGGAGGACCCACATGAAGTGAAGTCACTGAACTCCTGATTTACTTCAGTGAGTTTCGTTCTCACGGGAGACGCTCCCAAGGAGCCTGAACAGCCAGGCCTGCTCCGGGAGTAAAGGGGTTCTCCTTACGACTTCCCCAGCATGGCAATGGGGAGATTGGTCCCTGTCGTGGTGAGTCATTGGAGTGGCTGACTGTAGCACATGGGGGGAGGTGCCCAGGCTTAAAAAAAAAAAAAAAAAAAGAAAAAAGACCCGAAGAGGTCATCGTCAGTCAGTCCTTCGTCGTGGGTCCCGCCCCAACTGAGAGCGGCCCCCGTGGGCCAGCCAGATGGTGGCCAGTCTAGTCTGTGCCCCGTGAGAACTTCTGGTCAATTTGGTGAGATTTAGGAAGTGTCTTTCTCTAGCAGTGTATCAGCGGCCCTAAAGTCACAGGGTGCACACTGAGGCCTAGTAGTTGAGGTGTCTGGGGAGTAAGGGGAGGACAGAAGTGCTGAGCAGCTGCTAGGAGCCAGCTTCTCAGAGGAAGGGCTTCCGGGCTTGGTCTCCAGAGAAGACTGTGCCAATGACTAGTGTTTGGGGGAGGCAGGAGCAGTGACCCGGACGCCGAGTACACGAGTGTGCACTCGGAGGGCCAGTGAGGAGAGGCCGGGTGTGGTGGCGTTCTGAGTGTCCTGAGCGCCTCCGATGGAGAGCGGGTGCCGGCTGGAGTCTGAATTTAACGTGGATGCAGTTAGAGCTTCTGAAGGGAGATTGCTGTCCTGGCCACCTGTGCCATATGGCTTTGACATGATGGAGGCAGGAGGACGAGGCAGCTTTGATCTCTCTTCACCTGTTCTTGTTTTTTCCTGCTGTGCAGAAAGGGTTTGACGTGTTCAATGCCCTGGATCTCATGGAGAACAAAACCTTTCTGGAGAAGCTCAAGTTTGGCATAGGGGACGGCAACTTGCAGTATTACCTTTACAACTGGAAGTGCCCCAGCATGGGGGCAGAGAAGGTACGTCTGCTCCTTCAGCAGGATGGGGCCACGGGACTGGGCCCTTGTCAGCTGGCGTTCCGGGCCCTGGAAAGTCTCCTCCCTCTGAGGGCCAGACCAGCAGAGTCCACATTCCCCTTTCTGCAGCAGGTGTGAAGGTGGCAGAGGGGACAGGCCCCAGAGCCATACAAAAGCAGGAACCCTGTCTCCAGCTTCTCTCCCCACGAGATGAGCCGCCTCGGCTGGCTGGAGGCAGGGCATTCAGGACCGCTTCAGGGAACCGCAGGTCAAGCTGTCTGAGGTCAGCTGGGAGGGTTAGAGTCAGAGGATCTGAGGCGTCTCCTGTGCTGGGCTACTGCCCTCATTCCCTGCATGATCCTCAGCCCTTCCTCTGATGGCTCCAGAGGGCAGCCCGGGGCTATGGTGTCCTCAGCACTTACAGAATGCGTGACAGACCAGCTGGAGGGAGGCCTCATGACGAGTGTGGCTCAGGTTGCTGGCGGTTGCTTTCCTTGAAGGAGCTGGGTGATGTACGAAGCCCCTCATGGAAGTTGAGTGAGGGCTCCCGGCTCCTGGCGGCACTGTGCAGACCGGGTGGGAACATGGGGCAGACTTTGGATGGCTGTCAACTCAACCTTGCCTCTCCCTGTTGGCTCTCCTAGGTTGGGCTGGTGTTACAGTAATCAGTTGCCAGTGAGATTCTGGATAAAGCCACTGAGAATTCAAACCAGAAAATGGAACCCCACCACTTGTCGGTCCAACTTTCACAAACGTGAGAATCCCTGGCAAAGGGAACAGAACTGAACCGGCTTTACCAAACCGCCGCTGAACTTGACAATTGTATTGCATTACGATGGCGTAGGCTGCGCGATGTCACCTCTGGCCGTGTCTCTGGTCTCCCTGTTTTCCAATTAATCACATCCTTACGCAGCCGTGATCAAGGGAATGTAACTGCTGAAAACTAGCTCGTGATTGGCATATTATGGAGTTAACGGGTGAATAATAAAAGTATATATATATATATTATATATATATAAATATTTTAAATATCTTTCATGTTCCAAATGTACAAGGATGCTCGGTCTCTAATGAAAAACTGAATCCAGATCATTCCTCAAAATTAGAATGCAAGGACAGTGCCAGACAAACACATACTGGTACAGTGAATTGTTTCGTTCTGAAAAGCAGGCATTGACTTTTCTTAGGGGAGCAGGAGAAAGAGGATGTGGGGAATCTTAACCGGTCTCCCTTCTGGATGGGCTGGAATGCTTATCTTTGAGAAGGCAGGGTAAGGTGGAGGGACTGTGCTGACCTTGAGGAGGGCTCAGAACTCCCAGGGCTGCAGGTGGAGTCCTGGGTGGGGCTGTCCCTACTCAGAGGCTGTCCTGCAGGGGCTGGTCCTTTTCTGCATTCTGAAACTGGGCAGCGGGGACCATCTGTGGAAACAGATTTCTTTTATGGAGTCCCTTCTTCCCTCTTCGCTCTGCTCCCTATGGAAAGTCGTCCTGCCAACTGATTTTAAAGGGCTCTTTAGCCAGCTGTTGCCAACTTTATACGGATGAGTCCCCTGTGAGATTGATTTTCCACTGCCTGGGGTGACTGGCAGTTTGAAGGGGACCTTTGACCTCCTTGTAGCATCTGGGACCTTGTGGAGACCGTACCAGTGCAATCCTTGCTCGGCTCATCTTAGAGCGAAGAGCCAGCACCCTGACCACCCTAGGGTGTCTGGCCAAGGATGGCGTGGGGCCGATACCCAGAGCCCTTCAGCCACCAGCCCATGGCCTGTGCCTTCCAGTCCATTAGCCAGCTCTTGTGCTCCTGTCCAAGACGCACAACCTGCAAGTCGTAGCAAGGAGCGGTGGCCAGACACCGATCTGGATTTTGACAGCAGAAATGATCTTGTGTCACCATTGTCTGAATCTGGTTTTCTCTGATGATGTGTTGGGGATTTTTGTGGTAGTGGTGATGGCTGTTGATGCTGCCAGTTTCCCCAAGGGCGATGGAGCCTCGGGTCACGAGGCTGTCTGTGCAGGCTTTCCTCAGTTGTGCTCAGTCAGGTAGCCTGGGGAGGACTGGGCTGTGGAGTTGCCAGCAGCCTACATCCAAGCAGGCCTCTGTAACTGCTCTAGGAGGAAGTAAACGGGAGGTGGTGTGGGCCGGTTTCCTGGCTGCTTGCACTTCTCGGCTCCTTGTAGGGGGAAGGAAGCCTTAGCCAGGAGGCCATGCTCTGCAGGCTAACGGAGCCAAGTTTCAGGCTGTGGGTTCCGGCGAGGTTTGCCAGAGGCTAGCCGGGCAGGGTCCCCAGAGCTGGAGGAGATCGTGTGCTTGGGCTGGGGGCCGCACCACCTGCCCTGCCGGCTGTGCAGACTGCTGCTGCCGCTCCGATGTATTGCATTTTCGTCAGCGGCCTCTAGGGGCCTCCCTTCTCCTCGTTGCCCCTGTGCTGCCCACTGCATGCACCAGCGATCGTGGCTGACTTTTGACTCCTTGACTCCAAGATACCCAGACCAAAGAAGCTGCTGTTCTTAGCACGATGTGCACTGCATTCCGCAGACGGGAGGAGTCGGAGAGACCGGGGCTTGCCTTTACAGCCTCACAGACATCAGACACCCAGCGCCCCAAGTCCCAGAGCAGCTCATCCTGTGCGAGCACCTGAGGATATCAAAGAACAAAGTGCCCGACTCGTTCTTACCTTGGGCAGGACCTGGAACTTGGAAAGGTTCCCCGTCGTAAGCCTGGGCAGCTCTGGGCCAGGTCCCGGTCCAAGCTGCCCGCTGAAAGTTGGGGTGCACAACAGCCCCTGGAGTGAGCTTTGCTTTGGCTAACCCAGTTCTGGAATGGAAACTCTGAGTCCCTGGCTGCTATAGAAGAAACAGATCTCCGGGAAAGGCCTCCGTGTCTCCCTGCAAAACCATGTGGCCTGCTCCTTGGACTCTGCATGGTAGGCACCCTGCCCAGCCCTCCACACTGCCTCCCGGGTCTGTGGGAGTCGGCTTGGTGCCTGCTGTTCGTCTCTTTTTTGTCCAGACAGATCCCACGTTCTTCACTCAGCCCCTTCCAGGACTTCTGGTCAGAGAGCTCAGAGAGAAGCATTGTTTGGGGTTCAGGGCTCCTCATGAGGAGCCTTGCAGGATGGCGGGGGCTCCAAGCTCATCACCTCGGACCTGCTTCAGGCAGCCGTTGTTGGAAGTTCTCCCAGGGATGGCCCTCACCCTCTGCCACCAGTACTCCCTGCTGCCACCCTGGGCTTTTGGACTCCATGTTTCCAGACGTTTGCTTCCTGCTTTTGGATTGACTCTACATTTGATCCCCTCGCACATTCCCATGGCCTCCGACCTCTTTGTAGGGGAGAAAGCTGGTTAGAAAGGAAGCCTCAGTTCCGGATGGAGGTGTACCTAGGGTTGTTTCCCCCGCACATGCCTACTTTCAAAGATGCTAACATTTGGTTTGAAGGCTGGCCCACACCAAGCCACCTCAACACCCAGGTTTGTGGGAAATTCAGGCCTTGCCTGCAATTCTCATGTAACTGTCGTGGCCCCCCCTTACTTGCTGCTCACTGAAGCCTAGGGGTGGGGGTCCCTGTGGTCTGAATTCTTTGCCCAAAAATGACCAGCATTTAACCAACGGAAAAGATACCCAAAGGCCTGGGTAGCTTCACAGAGCTGCAGTCTGGGAGAGGGCCAGGGCCTGACTGTTGGGCTAGGAGAGGGGGCAGGAGCACATCCCTGGCCGGTGCCTACCCACCCAGGGGTCAGCCTTCTTGTGGCCTTGCCTGCCTGCCCTAGAACCAGAGTCATCTTCGGTTTTGCCCCACCGCAAAGCAAAGGCAGGCCCACCAACAGGCTGTGCTCCAGGAGGCTGTGTGAGACAGTCTCATTCAATTAAACTCAAAAATACTAACTGCAGGCAAGGTGCCGAATCTGGGAACAGGGAAGGGGGAAGCTTCACTTTTGTCTGGGCTTTTCTCTGGGCTGTGGGAGGGTCACCCGTTTCCAGGGCGGGGAAGTACCAAACGCATTGTAGTTCCACTGGTTACATCTCACTTGTTTCTAATAAAGGAAGCAGCTGAACCAAACCTCTCTGCCCTGGCATTCCTCTGGTCAGCAGGTGGCAGTGGAATAGAGTCTGTGACCCAGGCTGGAGCAGCCTCTCCCAGGGCCACAGGGCCCTGCAGGAAAGCCCCTCGTGACCAGTCCGTGGAGGCAGCCTTTGAATACTTTCCTTTGGCAAGGTTCTCCTTTCAGGGCAGAACTGGGCTCTTTTCCCTGACTTTTCCCATCCGCCGGTGAGGAGTTGGTACTGACCCAGGTTCACTCTGTGTAAGAGGAGCAGCTGGCCTCTGGGCCAACACTGGGGCACCTTGGCGGAGGGGCCCGTCCCTGGCTTCCACAGCTGAGAGCAGAGCAGAGCACTGCTTTGGGCCAGGTCAGCAATGGCTCCCCTGAGGGAGGGCCCGGGCCCTGCCCTGTCCCACATCTCCCTTTTTGGGCCAGTGGCCGGATGGTTCTGTTGAACCATCAGGAGTAACCCTGTGGGTTGCCAGGCCTGCCACACAGCTACTGAACCAGCTCTCCGAAGAAGGGCCCCAGCGACTGCCTTTAGACTTCCCATTCCCCCGTTCTCTTCCTCTGGAACTTTTCATCCATTCCCTGACCCTGTGCTGCTTTCAGGTGCCCTGTGGCTGGTGCCTCCAAATCCCTTCCCAGGGAATCTGGGCCCTGAGCTGCAACCTGAGAGGACACGGGACCTCCTCCCAGGGGACTCCTGACCCCTCCTAAACACCCTGTGTCTCTCCCCTCCCCCAGCAGGTCACGAGCACCTTCGTTCCCACCCTTAGATTTGGGCTGAGAACGGAGCCCTGTGGGTGGTCACCCAGGGACCTGAGTTACAAGTGATATTGTTGCTTCCACCTCCCATAATCCATTCCCACCAAATTTCTTGCATTGAAGACTTGCCCTTTCAAGGCCGACTTCCTAGCTTTGGGGCTCTTACCCTAGCGGGAAACCCTCTTGCTAAGGGTTTGCTAACTTCTCTAACTAGACCTGCTAACTAAGGTCTTGCTAACTTCTCTGCCAAGCCAGAGAAGAGAAGCAGGAATGGGGGGGCTCAGCCCAGGGTCCAGTGCTCACCTGACAATGGGACTCTCCACACAGGCCGTCACCACAGCTGGCCCTCTGGGGGACAGTCTAGGGATGGGACAGTTCTGACTGCTCTACGTATGTGGACTCAGCCTCGCCGTGCCTCCCCCCCACGCCTGCGGTTTGGCTTCCTGGCTTCCTACACCCTGAGAACCAACCAGGTATCCAGGCTACTTGGTCTGTTCCTTCATGGTTCCTGGATAGGGAGGCTTCTGACCCCTCTAGGGGCTGAGCATCCTTTTAGACACGAATTCATCAGAACCAACACCACTGAGCATGAGAGCACGAGTGGGAGGGCAGGGGGAGGCTGTCACTTCTTGCATCAGGTCATGGGTTGCAGGAAGGTAGAGACTGCCCAGCCCTGGGTTCCATGGGGCCAATTCAAGCCCCGGCCCAGCGCCATCCCAAGCCAGGACTGCCCTCAAGCTCCGTCCTCGTTCAGTGTGAGTGCTTTTGCCTGATGGAACCCGAAATTCCACACTGAAGTCCGGGAAGCCCCCTTTCTGGCCGGTTTTCTCTGAATTCTGCCATCTGGTGTCTCAGCACTACAAGCCCCCCGCCCCGCCCCGGGGCATCCTAGAGCAGCCAGCTGGTTTCTAGGCCTTCATCTAAAAGGCTGGTTACCTGGTGGAAGGAGAGCCCCAAGTCTCTGGGATTTGTCTACTGGACAGGGGCCTCGACGCAGCTGAACCCAGAAAGCAGAGGTCTGTCAGTCCTGTCTCCATCCCCTTTAGGGCCGTAACAGTTTTTCCCTGGCAGAAGTGCCCCCCCCCCCCACCCCCTTCCCATTCAAGGCCCTTCAAGGTTGAGGGGCAAAGGAGCTTGTGAGTTGTCCCCATAGTCTTGTGATGCTGGAAGCGGCTCTAAGCCAGGAGGAGGGGTCAGGCTATTTAGAGATGTGACACCTCC